AGCATGAAACTGAGCAAACTCAGGGAGGCAGTAAAGGACAGGAAGGCCTGGCGCAATATGGCTCATGGGATCACGGAGAGTCGGACACGACTTAACGACTGAACAACAAAAAGTTTTGTGCTACACTGGGCACCAGACATTAAACAGCTGCAAGATTTGCTTGAACTATTTATTTATTCAATTTTGATGCCACCTGACTTCAGCTCTGGGCTGAACTACAAGATGTTCCCACAGTAGCATTTTGTTTAATTTTAAAATCTCTGCTTTGTAAGTTACGGGCACATTTCTTCATGAAATTAGCAATACCTTAACATACAAAACAGTGCAATCTGTCATATTAATTGCAGTATTGAAATGGAAACACCTTGATAGAAGCAGGCACATTTTGCTCTGAAAAAAGCAGAATAGCTCATCTTGATCTAATTTAGATGCCCTGAATTCCAAGGAAGCACAAAAATAGTTTTCAGCCTTATGGCTGGTTCTTGAAGTAGTGGTTATGCTGGATATAATATTATCATGGTGGTTGTCTCAACTTCACTTTTTTGTGAAAGCTGCCAAGTCCTCTTGCCCTCCTTCACCAACAGAATTATAAAACAAGAGCCTGAGCAGATATATTAAAGGCTTTGGCTTTCTCATCCCCACTGCCAATTTTCTGTTGATGTGTCAGAAGTTGCCTCATAGGAAACTTGGGCTTCATGAAGAAATGCAGTGATAGGGAGGATTCAGAAATCCTAGCCCATTTGTGGAAGATCACCCTGTATTACTTTGGGTCTCACCCATTTTCCAATTTCCCATTAGCAGGTTTTAACCACAGTGGCCAGCTTGAAGCTGTGAGCTGTCTCAGAAACCATAAAGAATTCCCAGAAGGAGTGCTTTGGTCTTGCGTAGTGCACTGCTGTCCCTTGCAAGCCCTTAAACCAAATAAACTCCATATTTGTGGTTGAACACCAGTATTTTACTAGCCATCCTGTTCAAAATAAATGTGAAATAATAGTTCCGCTTTGTATATTTTAAAATGTGTTCCTTGTGTTAGCTGTATATTTTAAGCTTAGTGGCTCATGCAGTAAGGGAAAAACCTTCATGCAAATACTTTAACATATGTTTATAGCAGAATAGAGCCATTTTTTTCTCTTCCATGTCAAACAAGCAAAAATTAACTTATTTAAGTGTAAGCCTTTCTCAATTCTTTTGCTTCAGTTTAAGTAGGCACATAATCTAAAATGGATTGATGGACTACAGCGTTTTATAGTAGCTCTCTACTGGTAGTTGACTCTTCTTTCTTGATATCTTACAAGGCACCCTAGCTTTTCTACATTGAAAACTCATAGAATGACAATCCTGGGATTGTGCAACCTGTGCTTGTAGTTGCCTGCATTATGAATCATACTTGTATTTAGATGTTGATTACTGTAATCACTCAGTCCCCAGCACACTAGCACTTATAATGGGTTGCATTGTGAAAGAGATGCATCAGTTTTCCAATAAAATCAAACTGAAAGACAAAGATTTTATATGGTGCAAAACGTAAGGTGTTGGATTATGGTTCAGGTTCAAATTAACTCTTAGCTATAGAGCTCACTGGGTGGCAAAAATAACAATAAAAGTTAAAATGTGCCAATTCAGCTTGGCAACCAAAAGTCAGATTTTTTTGGTTCTTGCAATATTGCATAAAATACTCAGAATTCAACTATGTTGCATCATAGACAGGTTCCAGTGTGTGTGTGTGCGCGTGTGTGTCTGCTTACAGTTTATATAAATATGAAAAATTAAGAGCATTTTGGGTGTAATACTTGCATTAGAAAAATGGGAGAATGTGGCACTTGTAAAGTATGCAAATTGTAGCCACAGTGACAGGCTCCCTGTTTAAATATGAAGCTGGATTGTATGTTTGAGTATTAAGCTGGTAATTGGGACCTCCTTTGAAGGTGATAAAAGTATGTCTAGAGTATCAGTGTCCTGGTACTGCAGTTATTCACTAGTTTGGGGGAAATAACTGGGGCCTAGAACATCTCTTCTTATTTTTATATAAGTAACAACTAGAGAATATGCTTCTTAGTTTCTGCTTTGTCAACATGTCTTGAGCAGCTAGGCAATTCCTGTTGGCCTCAATTAGGCGAGAGTTGGAGGAATGCATATGGAGAGGATACCTTGTGTCTGGATTCCTGAGCATCCCATATGTTTCCGTTCACAGATTTTCACACCCAGTATCAAGGTGCATGATGATCTGGATTAAATTTTTTGCATTTTCCCACTACACAGAGACCTGAGGGAACATGAAAGACAGAAAGTCTTTAAAGGAAAAACCATGCTGAATGAAACAAACAGTTGTAACAAGAAGAATAGTTCGAATTGTGCTCTGTTTTGCCCCATACAGGCATAGTATTTGCAGAATAAATTTTTATCCACACTCCTCTCTTCACATTCTCCCTCACTTCCCAGTCTGTTAGTCCTTATCACCTGCTAAAAATGATAGCAAGCATCTTGAGAAAATCAGAATTCACCCACTTTTTAATGAAAAATGGGAGGGTATTGTTAAGTGGTTCATTTGGAAATCTTGTAATAATCTGTAGGTTACTGCAGTCATCTTTACAATGAATGAATCTGTAGGAAGAATATGGCTTCATATTCTGTGTAGAGATAAATAACAAAAGCCAGAGTGATCATTCCAGATTATTTTGTTAGATCCACCATTAACTTACATAATCATTTAAGATACCTATTCTTTCTGGATCTCATGCTTTGTATAACAGTTCCTATATCATCCCTAAGTAGATGTAGCTATGATGTGGTTTTTCGCTAAATTTATGTTTAATCACAAATAATATAGTAAAGTACTTGTTAGCATTTACTGTGAATGTTGAGAAAACAACTTCATAACTGCCTTCATGTCTTTGGAAGTGATGATCCATCTGCAAATGTTTAAAGTACTGGCAGTTTCCCAAAATTTTGGATTAGAGTTAGCTAGCATGCCTACAAAGGATTTTAGTTGTAAATTGCCTTTTTTTTTTTTTTTGTTCAAAGGCTGAGTAGCTTCAGCTATAAGAAATTGACTTCCTTCCCTGCTTGACTAGCCTTTCACAATCCAGAACAAGAGAGAATTACCAAAGTGTCTTTCTGGGAAGAATCAGAAGGCATGTTCTCACTTTCTAGGATTACAGTGGAGAAGAATGCCATCATGAATGAAATCATTCTGTCAACAGCAGCTTTTCCAATTCAGAGAGCAAACTGGCACCAAGCTCTCTTGTTATACTGCCAAAGTTACCCCAGTAAAAACTGTCAAGGCAGGCCCTTGAAAAGAAGTATAAAATAGTACTAGTTATGTATATTAATAACTACAATGATAACCATTCTGTATATATTTATGTGACTAGACCAAGTTTAAGATTTTGATGCTAATCATTAATGTTCTAAACAACTTGTGGCTCAGATAACTTAAATAAAATAAAGCTTTTGCTAGCCTTACTATATTTTAGTTACATACTGACCACATTATTATTAACTTTAGTGTTTGATAACTTATTACAAATGTACTATTCATAGTAGGTAAATGATAATACAGGGGCACATTCATGTTGTATATTTCCTGGTGATGTAGTGCATGGCAGGCAAAATAGAAATATTTTGAAGCAATAAAGAATATATTGGTCAGTGAAACATAACATGCAATCTGATCTCTGGTGTTCTTTTTTTTTTTTTTGCTTGAATATTTGTAGGTGTTTCACTAAAACCAGTGGCAGTTTTGGCAACAGTTCTGTATCTGTGATGCCCATTATAGCACCTTATCAGCAAGACAGTTTAGAAATGAAACCATTAAATCACATGATTGTTGCCATGTGCTTGGCATCCACAGTCCCTGGCTGCAACACTGAGGCTGAAGAAAATGACAAGGAGAAGGTAGAGTCACCATCACATCAGGACTCTTGTTGCCAAGAAAATGTGAACCCACTCAGTACAAATTGTATATCAGGTATGTCAGAAAAATGGAAAAATGTACTTGGCTCCTTGGTCACTGGTATTTACTTTTAACTAAAATATTTTAATTCATCTGCACAGAAACCAGAATTAGCGCGAGGGCAAATAGATTAGCATCTTGTGGTTCTGTCTCAGCATACCTGATACTCAATTACTTTTCAGGTTGCTTTGCAAAATTAGGAGCCCTTATAAAAGCAATTTCTTCCGCTTTTCTCATCTGATTAGGTTGTGATGATTGATTCTAATCACTGTGCTGATTTAAAAAAACTTCTGCCAAGAGTAGCTTTAGCTGTACTTCTGCATTTCAACAGCTATAATTAATTAGGCTGGATTCTTATATAGATGCTAGACAAAAATGGCATTAGTGTGGGGCGAAATAGTGATACTATTCACTATTGACAGCCAGTTGGGACTTGCATAAATCTTTTTGATAGCTGAGGTTGTTCAGATAACTGACAAACAGATGCTGATAACTATGTTTTCATTTGCAGATCACAGTGCACATTTGGAGACATCTGATCACATGTTGAACTGGAGCCCCCTTATTCTTCGGCCTGTTTCAAAACATTGTAATGAAAAGATGGAAGTGATTTCAAATGGCGTTACATTGGACAGTTTGGGTGGACATCAACAGCTCCAAATACAGGAGACTTAAGGAAATGGCCTCCCTTGATACTCCAGTAAAGCCAGTAACTGCACAGCAGAATTGCTGGAAGGGACTGACAACAAGAATATTAATTATTAGAATCACTTATTTATTGTTCGTTTTTGAGGTGTAGTGTCCTACGAATGTATGTTTTAAAAAGCCCTTTTGCTGTTATGTATTATTTATCCCTTGAGAAATTCATCCCCCACACATCCTGGATGAAATCATTTTGACAATTTATAATAATATAGATGATGTCTTCCTTGGACAGTTACCATTGGAAAATTACTGCTGCAGTGTGATGTAAAGGTTTTAGCAAATATACACATGGGGTAACTTCAGGCCCAAGTTGGACTGCAGCTTATAATTATACAGCTAAAGGGTATGAATCAAATAGAAGAATTCCAGCCCATCTCAAATGTTACAACATATTAGTGAAATGATTATTACTTTCTGAAATCATATTGATCTGCACTTGTTGATTCTGAACACTGAATGATTCTCAGTAGTTCCAGCAAAGTCTTGCTGGTCAGCAGTTAGGCTTATATAAGTGAATGTAATAAAAGTATAGAGTTCTTCTTCAAGCTGGTTCCTTGATAGTGAGAGGAACAAAACAGGCCTTGTGATATTGTCACAACAACAACAAAGTGGCAGTAGTATTTATAGCTACCTGCTTAGCAATGAGGGGACACTTGTATGTGGCTATTCTTGTAACGGTATGTGGGAAAGACCTTGGGAGACTGTGCAAAGAGATGCTGCCAAGGGAATGTCAGATAAGAGACAACATAGCCCGCAGTTGGATAGTGGGCAGGGCAAGAGGCTCAGAAGACCCTTCCTAGTTTCTTGGGCTGCAAAAGGGAAGGATTGAGCTTTCAGACTTGCAAGATTCTGTCAATGTAGTTTTACAATAAAATAGAATTAGCTTATCTGGTTGTGATTCCTAGCTGGTTTACCCCATGAGGCCGACATCAATCTTGCAAGCTTGAAAGTACAATCCTCCCCATCTCCTTCACAGCCCAAGAAACCAGGGAGGGTCTCTTCTGAGCCTCTTGCCCTGCCCACTATCCAGTTGTGGGCTATCTATTATTTGTCCAATTTATATAGCTGCCCATCTTGCAAAACAAATGACTCTGGGAAGTGTACAACAAAGCTAAAACAAATACCTAAAACAATTATCATTACTATTATTAAAAACATTAGAAACTATAGAAAACAAAACTAAGACAAAGTAGTAGGTGAAGGATGTTAATAATAATGGAGCCACCTCACTAGCTCACCAGTCCCTTGGGGTCCCCAGGCCTGATGGCAGAACCAGGTCTTGAGGGATCTGTGGAAGATCAGAAATGATGGAGCCAGCCTCACCTCGGGGCGGGGGGCAGATTCCACAACACAGCACCACAACAGAAAAGGCCCGCTGCCTAGGGCCCACCAAATGTAACTCCCTCAGCAACAGAACCTGTAACATGCCTTCTCTGCTGAATCTGGTGGGATGGGCGGATGTAATTGGGGAGAGGCGGTCCCTCAGGTAACCTGGTCCCATGCCATGTAGGGCTTTAAAGGTCAACACCAGCACCTTGAACTGAATCTGGAAACAAACTCGTAACCTGTGCAGCCTGTGAAGCAGAGGTGTAACGTGTGTTCTACCAGCAACGCACATAACTGCTTGCACCGCTGCTATGCTTTCTCTTATCTGACTGTTCCCTTGGCAGCATCTCTTTGCCCAGTCTCCCAAAGTCTTTCCCACATACCGTTACAATTCTGTAGCATTGTCCCTTGTTTTCATTCTAAATGTTTTAATTGTCTTCTGGTGTTCCCTTGGTGTGCCTTGGATACATACTGTTCAGTTGTTATGTATTGTGTTAATTTTTTTCTCATAACCTGACAGCGTGCTGTACAAAACATAAGATAGGGAAAGAAGAGGTAAAGAAGAACTTGGGTGTAGCTGCGATATAAGAAAGTTGCCAGAAATGTGATGGATTGCAAATACCCCTCTTGTCTTTCTCTTCTCAAAGAAAATAAAGGGTTTCTATTGCTTAGGGTTGGTTAATTGACGTAATTAATTGCTTGCAAGTTAGGTTTTTATGGAACTGTCATCTGCACTAGCTATCAGTAATTGTATTTCATGGCATTTCCTTTGAAACAAATGATAAAATTACATTATCTTCTACGTGTCACTCTTCACCGAAAGTTAATACTTTTGCGCAGCTTGGAAAGTTGGGATCCAAGATCAGAAGTATTAATCCCCCTTCTTTTGGGAGTATGGAATTGCTGCTTTACCCCAAGGCATCCAGTCGAGTCCAATTTGCCCTTCATTTGTACAGAACCTGATGTGTGTAACAGAAGAGTAGCTGCATAATTCCCCACCCCCCCTTTCAAATTTAACCAATACGTATACAATGTGAAAGATCTAAGAGGCACAGAGTTCTAAATGTACAGTTGCCCCGAGCAATAGGGATTGATTTTATAACTGGAGCAAGGATTGAAAAATAAACCTGGAGGAGGGGGACTGTTACCAAGGGTGATGATGCCGTAATAAAATTGAAAATCTGTTCCAGAAGATAGAATGTGGTGCCTAGCGGTGCCATTGGCCACACTGAATAATGTGTGCATGGTTGTGTGTGTGTGTGTGTGTGTGCACATGTGATTAAAACTGGGCTCTATATTTTTTATAACTGTTGCAGCAGATATCAAATGCCGTGTGTATATATAGTGTGTGATTATTTTATATAATATGTGGTGTATATTATATAATTTTATAAATACGACTCCCTTATAAGAATTTGCAGTGTTGATATGGGTTGCTATGCAAGATAGGATTTTGATGCAAAGTGCTGTTTGCTTTACATTGAAACTTACAGGGCGGCTTTGTGCCGTTTGGTTATACAATTAATTTGGTAAGATTTTAGAAATTACTTTTCAATATTCTTGGAAATGAGGTCACAACTTTGTACACTATTATGATGGCGGGACCAGTATCCCAGCTAGTTTGGATAGAAGTAGAGATCTTTTTGGCAAGACAGATTGTCAAAACACTTTTGCCAGTAGGAATATCAGGGCTCTTCTGTCGTTTCCATCTTTACAGAACCCATTTGATCCAGGAAAGCCCAGATAAGTAATGTAAGCCTTTTATATGTTGAACAGAGATGATATTTGGAGGTGGGGAAATGTCAGCCTCTTACTTAACAGAATCTCATCAAGAATTATTTTTATTATATTGTGACACTGTTTTAAGTGTTTTTCCCTCTTATTGTATTTTATTTATGAAAATGATATATTGTCCTTATATTTTAGGGGGATTGTGTGTTCCTTCCAGTCATAGATGCATATAAATCTTAGAAAGCATATACAGGTGATCCAGTTCCTTAAATCCAAATGCTCATTCGCTTCCCCTACTTAGATTCAGATTAATGTGTTCTGCCCAAGAACCTGTAGGAAAATCTTGTTCAGCAGTATTTTACCTTCCCGTTTTAAGTTGTAATGGCTTTTCAAATTCACTAAACACTTCCATGAGACTTGGGGCATCTCGTTTAATGTATTTAGAATGCCTCTTCTTCCTTCTATACCAGCCTTTGGGTTTACAGAAGGAACGCTGCCACCCGAAAAGCTAGTACAAATCTTGGTCAATTTGTTAAATTCTCTGGCATCTTCATTTATTAAATATCCCTTGAATTGTGGTATGGTATAATCTCATTTGCAGAATTCACTATTAGAATGTATTGCAGCAGAGTTTAAATGCTGTATTTCACTTATAGATTGTTTCTTATTTATCCTTACAAAAAAAGTGCAAATAATGCAAATATGCAACTCAGTAGGAAATGTTTATTGCAGTACTTTTGCCCAGAATTTATTCAACTCATTTTGCTCACCCTTGCTTTTGGCTATTTAAGAATGAGATGAATTGACAAAGCGATTGATACCGATGGATATGTATAAAGCTACTGGTTTGAAGTTGTGGTTAAACCCTGCTCGTTGCCTGAAAGGGTCTTCAGTGTTGCTGTTAATGCCTACACAAAAGGCATTATCGGGAGTTTGTCCCATTAAAATCTGTGTAACTGACTTATGTAAAAGGTGTTTTTGGTGCAATATGGCTTTAATTCGAACTGTTTTCCTGAAGGTGTATGACCTAGTTATGGAGCCTCAAAAAGATGTTATTCTCAGAGCTTCCTCCTCCAGTCTTTGAAAAGTCACTTCACTAAATAAAGTATCGCTGTTTAAGCAAAAAGTGTTATTTCATTTTACTTTGATTTTGCAATTTAATTTAAATTTAAAGATGCATGTATTTTGTGTCATATAAAATGTTATATTTTCCTTTAAAAGTTGTAATATTCTTTTTTAAAAACTGTACAAATGTTTAAATATTGTAGGTTTCGGCAGAATTTTCTTTGTGTTCATAATATTAAAGAGAATTACACTGGTCCTCTCTAATGGTCTGGTGTGAGCATTATTAATACTGTTGTTTCTTGTTGCAGTCTTCCATGGTTTAAAATGCTGGTATCCTGGTACAATGTATAGGAAGCTAACACAACACAACTTTCATTATTTTTTTAAACCCTTTTTAATTGATGTTTCAAATAATGCATCCACAGTTTTCTTCTGACCTTTCTTCCAGTATTGCTTAATAAATTCCCTGAGAGGTAAAATAGTAGCCGTGCAAACTATCTCAAAAGGCAGAAGTTGTGTGGAATTGATGTTCCATTTTTCAAAAGGAATCCAGATGTCCTATGATCATCCTTAATGAGGAAAACTTAATTCTCCATTTTATCTTAGTTCTCATTGATTTAGGAGAAGGGACAATAAAATCCTGTAAATACCCCCCCTCCCCGAAAAGGGTCTCTTTAAAAGCACTTTATCTTGGCTTTCTCCTGCCTTCTCAATTGTCTCATCTTTTCCCCACCCCCACCCAACTTAACTGGTTTTCTTTATTGACTTACGGATTATTTAGAGCTCTGAGATGATTCTTACAACTTTTACAAGCAGGTTTTGGCCAGATATTGTTGCATTTTCCAGCTGCGTGCCAGTGATGGACTGAATCATACCCAATGGAAATATTCCCCTTCCACATTCTTAAATGGAAGGGAATTGTTGCATGCTTTGGGACAGGAGAGCCAACTTTCCAGGGGCTGTAGATGTTTGTTTTTGGCCAACAGGTAAATACATGATTTACAACATAGCAATTGCGGCTGAATCTGTTGGGAGCTCTTCACTAGAGCAACCAAACCTCTAAATGTTCAGTGTGAGGAGCTGACTTATTGGAAAGATGCTGCATACAAAGGAGTTAGCACTGTGTATTAAATTGTGATAGCAAGCAGGAAATCTGATGGTGGGGTGTGGTGAATGAATACATCCCTGCCCCACCAATCCATCAGGTCAACCCATGAATAAATGCTCTGATGTCTGCCCCAGCATTTGTCTTCTGAAGTGATTCATTATTCCATTTGCTCAGGGCTTACTGGCTTCAACAAAAACCAATAAACCAAAACATGATAATGCAAGGACTCCATGGCAGATGAGACAGGATGAGTGCTTGTGAGCTGGCAATTCCCATAATGTTGCTAAATTATCCTTTTACAAGAGAATGGTTGGAATGTGTAGAATTAGCAGTTAACCTCTCATGTTCTCCAGCCCTGGCTTAAACTAGAAAATAATCTGGAGAAATGCAGTCCTTTCTCATTTCTGCAGAGAATATGTTGAAAAAACAGCTGTACATTACTTGGCCATTGATTGAGGGAGCTATATTGCTGAGCAACTAATTTCTAGCAGCTCTAGAAAGAAGATTAAGAATGGAG